TGTAGTGGGCATGATGGTGATTACCGGTGTTTGGAGGGCTGCTCACCCCCGCACCCTTCAGAGCCCTGGTCCACGTGGGGAGCTGGGGAGCCACGGCTGCAGCGTCCCAGCTGCTGCTGCAGGTGCTGGGGAAAGAGAGTTGACGCCCCTTCCGAAACCCTGCGTGCCGCCCCTGCTTCCTCCCCTCTGCTCAGAGCGGTGGGAGTCACTTGGGTGGGTGGGTGGGGTGCCTTCTTCAAGGACCTTTAGATTTCAAGTGATAGAAACCCATCCAACTACTTACTGCAAAGTTGTGGCTCTCTGACCACTTTCTTACTCTGACTTTATTTTGTTCCTAGCACGTATTTCCTCCCAACACACTCTCTGTCCTCCTGTCTCCTCTCTTCCCTCCTGTTCTTTGGTTTTTGATGTCTATTCACGCACTGGAATATAATTGCCTTTGCCTGTTTAGCTTTTTGTGCTTATATTGGTGCTTACATATTGTAGGTGTTTAATAAATATGCATTAAATGATGGCAAGATGACACCTTGGGTAGATTGTGACAATAAATAGGAGTTAGTCAGGCAAAGGGAAGGGAGGTCCCAAGGCAGCTGCAGGTAAGGCCCAGAGCTGAGAGGTGAGAGCAGCCCCTGGGGACCCATGATGAGTCATTGTATGCCAGGGAGGGAGCTGAGCGGTGGTGGGTGACTGGTCAGCAGGAGGGGGTGACAGGTAGAGTGAGGTGAGCAGAGACCAGATCTTGGGGGACCTTTTAATGCCATGCGGCATGCGGGATCTTAGTACCCGATCAGAGATTGAACCCACGCCCCCCCGCGGTGGAAGCACAGAGTCTTAACCATTGGACCGCCAGGAAAGTCCCATTGGGGGACCTTTGATACTGGGCTGCAGGACTTGGATTTTATTGGGAATCCATCGTGGGGAGCAGGAAGGGTTTTCAAGGAGGAGTGTGACAGGATCATTTGTTTGAGGTCTGCCAGGAACCTCACCCTTATTGCTTTCCTTCTGTGTGCAGATCACTTGTGTATGTGTTGTACCACAATGATCCTGAAAGTGAGATCCTACTCCTCCATTTTGCAGGAATAAAGCTGTGGACTAGAGAAGCTAAGTGCTGGGGGTCACACAAGGCATAGAACCATTGTCATTTCTGTGTTTTAAGTAAAGACTTCTGGTAGCTGTGCAGAAACCTGATTGAAGGGGGCAAGGCTGTTGCGGCACTCCATCCAGGGGAACAGCGAGGGCAGGTCTAAGTAGTAGCAATGCAGATGGACGTGCATAGACCAAGGTGTACAGGAGGGAGAGTTGACAGAATGTTAGTAATTGACCAGATGTTGGAGTGAGTTTTTCATATTCACTATTTAATAAGCAATTATAGAGCACTTTCTATGAGCCACGCTCACTTTATAGTATTAACCCATTTAATCCTCGCAACAACCATCCGAGCAAAGTGCTATTATTATCCTCGTTTTACAGACAAAGAAGCTGAAGCACAGAGATGTTAGGTAACTTGCCCAGGGTCACACAGTAAGTGAAGGAGGCAGGATTTAAAGCTAGGTCCATGGTCTTAGCTATTAGATTTCTAGATTGAGCAACTGAGCAGTGGTAGTGCCAACGACCAATGTAGGGAACTATGGAAAAGGCAGCTCTGGATGCTTAGGAGGACGGATTTGGTTTTGGACCTGTGGAGTATAAGGTGTCTGAGATGCCCAAGAGACAGTTGGACACAGAGGAGCTTCCCAGAGGTCTGGCTGGAGATGACATCTTGGTGTCATTGGCATGTAGGGAGTACGGGAACTAAAACATTACTAGAGGGTCCTGGGGAGAGTGAGAGAGGAAAAGGACCAACCTCCCCACACCCCAGGAGTGCCAGGCTGGGCTGAGGAGAAAGAGCTACCACAAGGGCTGAGAACCAGCAAAGGAGAAGCAGGAGAGAGTGGTGTCCTGGGGTAAGAATGTTCCAAGGAGGAGGGACTGGTCAAGGTCAGGGATGAAAGCGAGAGCGACTGAATAGTGTGTATTGAATGTGGCAACAAACAGGGACCCTGTGGTCTAGGCTGGAGCAGCCTTGTGAGCTGTAGAGAAGGCAGAGCGCGGGGGCCAAGTCATCAGGAGGAGCGGGGCAGGAGACAGTGCATGTGGAGAGGACGCTCTGACTGCAGGGGTTAGGGGGAGGATGGGAACTTCAGAAGTTGGGGGACAGGACGGGAACTTCCAAGAAGGATTTTTTATTTGTTCCCGACCCCACCCTGAGACACCCATGAAGAAAGATACTTGATGATGTTTGAATACTGGAAGGAGCGGATGGTAGGGAGGGGAGAAGTTAGAAATAACTGGGTTGGAGGGATCTGGCTGATGGAACAAAGCTCATTGTGGGTGGGGAGGACGCACTGAGATTCAGCATTTCTTCCTCTGAGATGAGAGCACAGTGGGTGATGGGTGCAGATGCGTGTGTGTTTTAACGTAGGGACAGGGAAGCAAGGAGTTAACAATCCATTTATACTAGCATGTTACTTAACGCCAATTGTGTTGTGGATGGGCAAAAAACAACTCAGTTCAACTAGCAAGTGTATACAGTCGAGCCTCCGTATCCATGCAGATTAGTTCCCGTGCCCGCCACAGATACCAAAGTCCACGGATGCTCAGGTCTCTTACATAAAACAGTGTAGTATTTGCATGTGGGATCTTCGTTCCCCGACCGGGGATCAAACCCACATCTCCTGCATTGGAAGCGTGGGGTCCTAACCACTGGACTGCCAGGGAAGTCCCCCTCCTGTATACTTTAAATCATCTCTAGATTACTTGTAACACCTATATGTAATAACATTATAAGTCCTACGTAAATAGTTCATTCAAGTTTCGCTTTTTGGAAATTTCTGGAATTTCCCCCCCCCAATATTTCCCATCCATGGTTGGTTGAATCTGGGAATGCAGAACCCATGAAATATGGAGGGCTGATTGTACACTGAATCAGACACCATAAGTGGTGCTAGGACACAACATTTTAAACTTGATTCCTTTCTTCAAGGTACAGAGCTCAAGGTCAAAGAAAATGGACATGTAATTAAATCATTACAATGCAATGTGGAAAGTGTTATAAATGTCTACTTCTTCCACCAGACATGCTGGTAGACATGATCTTGCACATATGTGCATCCCCTGAGCCTCACAAGATGCCTGTCTCATGAAAAGCATTTGATAAATACTGAAGGAAGGAATGAAGGAGGAAGGGAGGAAGGGAGGGAGAGAGGGAGGAAGGGAGAAGGAAGAAAAGGACATGAAGCTCTGCCTGAAGAACTTAGAAGATTTCCCAGAGGTTGTGACATGTGAACTGGTGCTGAAGGATGAGTAGCAGTTCACCGGGATGACAGTTCATGTGGAACAGCAAGAGAATTTCTGGCAGAAAGGACCATATCTGCAAGTGTGTGAGGGCACAAGGCACTTATAGATATGCCTGCCTGGTGAGTGCTTTGATGAGGCCACGGTCCAGAGCTGCTCTCTGTACTGCAGGGAAGCCTCTAACCACATATGGTTACTAAGCACCCGAAACGGGGCCAGTCGGAATTGAGATATGCTCTACATGTAAAATACACACCAATTTCAAAGACTTAGTATGAGAAAATGTGAAATATCCCATTAGTAATTTTTGCAAGGATTACATGTTGAAAGGGTAATGTTTTGGATATATTATTAAAAGTAATTTTACCTGCTTCTTTTAAATTTTTAAAAATGTTCCTGCTAGAACATTTAAAATTACATAGATGGCTCTTAGTATGTTTCTCTTGGACAGGGTACTAGGAAATGTAGGGGAAATGAGGTTGAGTGGCAGGCAGGGGTCAGATCATGGACTCTGTAAGGACCTCCTGTAAGCAATGCAGTTTTTAAAAAATTTTTATTTTATATTGGAGTATAGTTGATTTACAATGTTGTGTTAGTTTCAGGTGTGCAGCAAAGTGATTCAGTTATACATATACATGTATACATATATATATTCTTTTTCAGATTCTTTTCCCATATAGGTTATTACAAGAGTATTGAGTAGAGTCCCCTGTGCTATACACACTCCTATATATAAAATAATCAACAGGGACCTACCATATAGCAATGCAGTTTTAAGCCAAGGCGGGCACAGTCAGATGCATGTTGTCTAGACAGCTGTCAGCTGTGTGAAAGGTGGACCGAGGAGAGAGGATGCTGGGGGTTGGAAGTGAGTGAGTCTCCCTCGAGGAATGATGAGCCAGACGAGATGGACCGACTGAGTGTGCGGGAGGCAAGGGAGAGGAAAGTAAGATGACATCTAGAATTCTGGCTTCGATTTGCTGTTGGATGGAGATGCTTTTGCGGGTATCTAGGGAGAAGTGGGTGATACTGCCTTCGAGGTATACAGTCAGCTGCTGGTGGCTTAGATCTTGGTGCTGGAGGTGTAGACATAGGGTCATTAGGATAGAGGTGATCATGAAAACCTCAGAGTGGATAAAGTCTCATAGGGGATGCATAGAACAAGAAGGGAAGATGGCTGAGGTTGGAGCCCCTGGGGGATGAAGGGGCAGACACGAGGAGAGTGGAGAGTGCTTGTCAGAAGCCAAGGGGGGGGGGGTTTGAGAATCATTGTGCCATTGAGTAAAGTTCTGCGAAGCAGTCAGATGAGTCAAAGAGAGAACGCGTTTTGGATTTAGCAATAGGAAAATTGTTGGTGACCTCGGTGAATGCCGTTTCCATGATGTAGTGGGGGAGAAAGCCGAATTGGAGGGACCGATGGGGATGGAATTGAACAATGCAGAAACAGCAAGTGTGGACCACTCTGAAGAAAACAAGGCATTTGAATTGTGTGGATTTCATCGCTTAAAGAATGTTGGGAATTCCAAGAAACAAACGACTTGTGTTGCCCCCTGTGTTTTCATTTGCAGAGCTCTCCCTGCACCTGCGCCACCCCCCCCAATCAAAGGCAGAGACTTATGCAAATGTCCTTTTCTCTCTCTCTCTCTCTCTCTCTCTCTCTCTCTCAGGCCGGATCTTGGACCTGAAGACTGGGACGGTCAAGAAAGAAGGGCAGCAGTCATCCATGAGGATGTGCATGGGCTCCCGGAGGTCCTTCATCTGCAGGATGAGGTCTGTTTGGGGGAACGGTGGGCTGGGTTCTGATGGGGTTGCTCCCTTCTCACCTCCACTGAGAGTCCTGATGGGCTGTAAGATCACACCTTCACTCTGGTGATGTCATCTCCTGACTGCAGCGTGTAAGCCTCCTCCTTCTTGGTCTGTCTTACCTGTAAGTGGAGAAGATAAGTCGACAGTTGGACATACGATTCAGGAATTCACGGGAGAGTCTGGGGCTGAAGACGTAGAGTCAGGGATTGACGACAGTGAGGTGTATCTAAAGCCCCGAGACCGCATGAGATCACCTGGGAAATGAGTGTTGTGAGAGAAGAGGTCAGAGCTCTGAGCTCAGGCCACCCCTGCACCAGCGGGGCAAGGAAGAACCGGCAGAGACTGAGAAGGAGCGGCTGGGCAGATGGCAGGGAACAAGAGAGGGAGAAGGAAGTTTCCAGGAGGAAGGCATGGTCCGCTGCCAGATGCTGCTGCTGATTCCCAGATACGAGGACTGAGGATCCATCACTGGACCCCAGAGGGAGAAGCAGCAGCAGCTGGAACTGCAGAGGCAGGTGAGCGAGGCGGGCGTCCTCCTCCCCTCCAGGAAAGAAGTCGGTCCCCGCTGGTCCGGGCACGTGCTCCCCCAGCCTCCTCTTGAGCACTTTTCCCGACAAGTCCACGCAGGCCCACACCGATCCTGATTCAGCTCCAGCGCCTCCTGCCCTCTCCGACCTCCTCCCTGCCCCTGCCAAGCTTCCCGATGCTCCGATCTCAGGGCCGGGCACAGTGGAGCCACTCACTACCGTCACCTTCCTCCAGTGGTTTGCTTCTGGGACAGGGACTTACCACTTGAGCCTCTGTTGGGAACTATGAAGTAAAGCACAGAGTAAAGCAACTCTACTTTTTTTTTTTTGGCGGTACACGGGCCTCTCACTGTTGTGGCCTCCCCCGTTGCGGAGCACAGGCTCCGGACGCGCAGGCTCAGCGGCCATGGCTCACGGGCCCAG